TTGTGTTCTATGAAATTCTAACCTTCTGAATTCCTCATAATCTCTACCTTTCTCCTTCTAAATTTATCTTACTGAATTATACTTCTCGAATCATATCTTCGCTCCCTAATCTTCTCCATTACTGCTAATACTTCTATTATTGCTATCACTGTTGGATTTGAACTAACAGTTGCGTCTGTGTGCTGATGTGGTATGGCAACCTGAACTGTGACGTACTTACGTACAAAGTTCTGCGTTGTATCTGTCTGTCTGTCTGTCTACCTTCTTACTACCTGATGGTTTCAATGTTTTGTATGGAATTATTTTAAGTCTATTTATCCACATTTCATCTATTACTCTCTCCGATGTTGAACTATTGACGAAAACTTGTATTGTTATTGTATTTTATTATTCTTCTTACCACAACCAATAAATAGTACACACCTGCCTTTCATACTAGAATCAACTTGTACTTTTGCCTATGATGTGTGTGTAGTGATGTAATCTCTATTTGATTGGGATTATTTTGACGATCTAAATTGAAAACAACACCATAATTGTTCACTTATTATCTGCGTGTTATGTCTAATTATTCACAATGGGGAATCTTTATTATTGTGGTAATGATAAACACATGAAATCCTGTGTAAATTCTTTCTTCGAATATTGGGTTGTTTTTTCAGTACTGATATTATTCAACATTGTCTTGAAACATATCACCAAAGGGTCATAATGATTTTTTCATTTTATCATGAACTGATAACATTTTGGAAGAATTCATATTGGCTTCAGAACACATCAGTTGTTTTACTGAAATCTTTCTCGAAGTTAACTGTATTCATTAGTAAACAGGTTCAGCATGCCTTACATTTCATAATTTGCATATACACGTCATATTCATTCATGCCTAATCAAAATGTTAAAATAATTACACATTATGGAAACCAAGAATTGATCAATGTTAGACCACACCATTAGAATCCTGGAAGAAGCACTGGACGGCCGTTTCGTCCTGGTATGGGACTCCTGAACAGTGTGCATCCACGACTTCTGCACCTCACAGGATTCGAATCCAGGACCTTCGGTATTGTAGGCGAACGCCTAAACATCGGACCACTGAGCCGGTATTTAACAGTGTTAATGTCTAACTTGATCAATTCACAGAGTTGCGCAACCTCATACACAGTCTTCGGTAGTGGTTACTGTCTACACCCAAACAAGTTGAACTTCACTTGTCACACAACTTCCCACTAGAACTCGCAGAAGATTCCTGACGAAGCTAGTCACTACTGAGCACAGGTAATTTGCATTACGTGGGTTGCTGTGAAGATTGTTAAGTTACACATTTTTTTGAAACCATGAATCGATCAATGTTAGACCACCATTAGAAACCTGGAAGCACTGAAAGACAGCCGTTTCGTCCTGGTATGGGACTCCTCCGTCCAGTGCTTCCAGGTTTCCAATGGTGGTCTAACATTGGTCGATTCATGGTTTTAAAAAATGTGTAACTTAACAATCTTCACAACCCTGTAATTACAATAATTAGTTTGGAATACTTTTCACTCTATGACAGGCAATGATTAATTTTATGGAATTCTAATTTAAATATTACCGCACCACTAATTAGTGTTTGTAGCTTGAAAATTAATCAAGTCATACAGTGTAAAATTCATTTTTAAATATTTTGATAATATTGAATAAATTACCATAATTATTATAAGATACTGATTGATTGATTGATTGATTGATTGAAATTAGACATTAACACCGTTCGTTATATGCCGACTCAGTGGTCTAGAGGTAAAGCGTTCTCATTTGATGCCGAAGTTCCCGGCGAGCGGAGGTCGTGGATGCACACTGCTGATGAATTACATACAAGGATTTAATGGCTGTCCTGTGCTTCCAGGTTTCTAATGGCGTTCATAGTTGGATGCCGGCCTAATGGTGCAGAAGTTAGGTGTTCTTGCGCAAAAAACCAAAGGTCCTGATTTCGAATGCTGAGAAGTGCTGTTGTCGTGTATGCATCCCATACCGGGTAGAAATGGCCGTCCAGGTTTCTAGTGTTGGTCTATCAATGACAGACTGACGATTTCAGCATGTAAAACACTGACCACTATAACTGTTATTGACAAAATTTATAAAAGACACCGGAACAAGCTATCCAGATTTGGCCTTTTATAGCAAATATTGACTGATCATGACAACGTAAACATAGTACATAGTAAACACACCGGATTGTCAAAACAAAGTATGCCATGACGTAATGCAGGTGCTAATGGATGAAAACATCTAGGAAATAAGAGCCAAAATGCCATTCTCTTCAAGCATATTAACCTTTTAA